TTACAGCTCAGTGATGTTCAGGAGGCTCTCTCTCTCTCTCTCTCTCTCTCTCTCGCTTGCTCTCTCTCTCTCTCTTTGTGTGTGTGTGTGTGTGTGTGTAAGTGTAAAAGTGTGTGTAAGTGTGACAGTATGTTAGTGTGTGTATCGATCATCTAATAAGGACGTACTCTGGTATTGATGAACCCATTAACAGTGATCAGAGGTGACCACAGTGAAGAGCTGATTGATCAGACCTTCAGAGTCAAGAAAAGACAGAAAGAAACATCAGGAGGGAGACGACTCTTCTTTCTTTATCTGTCCTTTCTTTTTCCTTTCCTCTTCTTTCTGCCTTCCTTCCCAACATGCATTCTTTCACTTCCCCTTTCCCCCCAAATTCTTAATGATTTTTTCTCTCTTCCTTCTCCCTTCCTAAACTTTGTATTGTCTCTCTCCTTCAACTCCTTCCTTTACTGTAACCTTTGTAATATTCTTCCTTTCCCCTTTCTTCTGTGACATCCTTAATTTCTACCTTCATTCCCTCCTTCCTACCCAAACTTATTTAAATACTTCTTGCACTCCTTTCTTCTGTCCATTCTATTTCCCCTCCTTACTTTCTTGACCTCTCTTATAACTTTCTTCCCCACTGTCTTCCCTTCTTCGTTCCTAAACTTTTTTTCATGTCTTCTCTCGCTCTGAAACATCTGTCATTTCTTTGCTCCTCTCTTCCTTCATTTCCTCCTTCCTGTCTCTCTCCCTTCTTTACTTAATCTCTGTTATTCCCTCCATCCTTCATTCCTCCCTTCCACCCCTTAACCTCTTTGCTCTCTTCCATCCTTAACTTCTTTTATTTTCCTCTTCCTTCTTTCCATCCATCCTTCCAACCTAGATTTCTTTCATTTCCCCCTTCCTTCCTTTACTTCTTACTTTTTTTTTGCTTTCCTCCTTCCTCTCCATCTTCCTGATTCCCTTACTTCCTTACTTGACTTCTCTTTTCCTTCCTTCCTTCCTTCCTTAACATCTTTCTTTTTCCCTTCCATCCTTATTTTCCTCCCCGCTGTAATCTGGTCTGTGTGTCCTGCTGCAGTTAGCCGAGCCATTAGCCGGCAGATTGATTCATTACGCTAATGTGAGTGTAACCCTGTTGGCCCTGTTGAAATGCGTGCAATATGACACTCCTCAAATTTGTTCTAACACATGCCCCGGGGAGCCAAACAGAGCCGTCGCTAATGGGGGAGGAGGAGCCAATTATGCAGAGAGGAGCCAACTGTCAACAGATATTAAGGACAATATGAGCTCTGTGTGCTATCAGCTCCTCAAACACAGCAGCTCACTGCTCCTCCTTCACACACTCCGACACACACTGAGAGAGGAAACACCGAGGGGGAGTGTGTGTCTATATCGAGATGATTCAAAGGGGGTGATCATCATTGAGTTTTTTTCTAACATCACAAAAACTGCAACCAGCCTTTTTAAAACTTTGATTTTTGGTCATGTACTCCACAATTACACCTATGTTAAAGATTGCCATTTTAGCCAAAATATTTTATTTCTGATTACATTACTGACTTTATATGGCACAGAATAATAAGAAAATGTAGAAAAGTGCAAAAAAAAAAAGTCAGAAAATTGATGTTTTTCATACCCTCATTTTGAAGGCTTGAAACTGGTGCAAGGTGTCAGCTGAGCAGCTAAAGAAACAGCCCTATTTTACATCAAATATTCACAACAAATTATTTATCTGACCATCAACTGTCAGCAAAATGAGATTTATCATGATGAGTCATGCTAAAGCATGAGGAGGACAAAAGAAGCAAAGGCTGTCTTTTCCACAAACCAACAGGTCCTTACAGGAGCTTGACTGTCAATTTTTTTTTTCTCTTAAGGTAGGATCAGTTTTCAAATTATGCAAGGTGAGTTTTAGATGGAAAAACTATGGTGGCCCTATGACATCTATGACATGGACATTTCAAGAAGGCAATCAAAATATTTCACCACAAAAATTAATAAAAGTTTTATAACACTGGAAATATAATATAAAAAGCAACATTATTTCACATATTTATGAAACATAACAAAAAAAAACACAAATTAATTTTAAATAAAATAAAAATAATTGCAAAAATACATGTTTTAAGCATGAATTAATTGGAAACCTCAAATTTAATAACAAAAAGTACTTGAGAAGACGGATAAATTCTGAAAACATGAAAATTCTTGAAACAATAATAAAAACACCCAAATATTTTGGATACACATTGATTGAAAACAATCAAACCAACAACAAATTAATCTTATTCTGAAATATATTTTGTTTATGTGAAATATTTTTGTGTTTTGTGCAATGTTCAAATTGTATGCAGATTTTTGTTTTTTATTCAAATGTCCTTTATGAAATCTTTTTTTTATTTCCTTTCTAAGAAACGTTTTTGCCATTGACCTTTGGGGCCACTGTCAAATATAGATTGACTTAGTTTTCTGAAATTGTTGATTTATTTATTAGTTCATAGTTAATTTCTCCGCGAAAGAAACAATAGTTTTATCTAATGCATGCAAACTGTATCGTCAATGTACATCTGAAGACCTGCACCAAAACATGTTTCTGCAAGTCATTAATACACAAACTGAAAGGGATGGGCCCAAATACAGTCTCCTGGGGGATTCCTGTTTCAGTTTTTTAAAAAGTGTACTTGATGTTTGAAAAATTTAACATAATTTTTTTTAAATACGTTCTTAGATCCTGGACTGCTTCTGCTAAATGTTCTTCATACAAAGACTGTTTTATGTTTTCTAACAGTAAACAGGAGGCTGATTTTATGGCATTTTCATGTCAAGAACATTGATAGGTGTTACCTTCTTCCTCTATTTTTATTTATTTATTTATTTATTTTTGGTGAACACAAAATCCTAAATGGCGAAGACGGCAGACACTATCTGAGATGGATATTTGATTTGTTCACACGCAAACATTCTTCAAAACAAGATTAAAGCTTTTACAATGTCAGCACAGAAAAAGAAAAGGAGAGACTTTAACAGATAAAATCAGCTCTGGTTTAAATTCACAGCAATTATCATGTGTTGATTTGGAAGCAGAGTGTGTTTTTGTTTCCAGCAGCCTTGGGGCAGAGACACAAACATTCAGCCGGAGACCTGTGGTCATTTCCCATCAATTAGCAGATAACGAGAGAAAAAAAGCTGAGGTACAGAAAAGAAATATCTACAGATGTGAATGATTTGGTAGGGTATGACACGATGCGACATGTTACGATACGATACAAACTACAAAATGACCCAATGAAACATAAAAAACATTTAAAAGTATATAATATAATACAAAAGATAACATATTTATGTGATTCATTATATGATGTGAAATCGTGCTATAAATAATCATATTGCACGCTATGTCAGGTCAAGATGCAGTATGATGCAGTACAAAATATGATACAGTGTGATACTTGTAAGAAAAATACAATCTAATATGATTTTAAAAAATGTATGTAAAATATCACACAAATGATATGATATGATACGGTATGATATGATGCAATACAATACAATATGATACAATACAATGATTTGATGAGAAATTATACAATATAAGATGAGTAATACAATATAAATGACACTATAGGTCTGATGAAATAAAAACCAAACAGACCGAAATGAACATAAACACATAAGGTTTCAGCTCAGGGTCATCTCAGGTTGTTAGTGAGAGGTAAACCCTCAGATAACTCTTTATTTCTTCCTTCCTGACTTTATCTCCATCTGAGGGTGGAACGGAGCATTCAGGAGGGAAGCAGTATATGCAGTGGCTGGAGATAAGGCCTGATGTTGTGGATGTGGGGGTGGGTGGTCTTATTTACCTGTTGGCTGAAGAGGCTTACAGCTCCCTGCAGGCCATGGCTTTACATTGTGTGTATTTGTGTGTGTGTGGGTGTGGGTGTCTGCTGTTCTGTCAACACTCACCCTAAAGCACTGCAAAGTCAGTGGATCCATGTGTGTCAACAGCAGAAAGACATAAGGGCAATGCGCATGCTCCTAATCAAAGAAGTTGTCAAAATGTGGGAAAATTGGACAATTTATGCTAGGAATAAGAGAAGAAAAATTCAATTAAAATTTTTGCAGTGAGTATTTTTGTACTAGCCAATATAGCCTAAAACCAAAGTTTTGTCCAGGTATTATGTCCTGGTCTTAGGTCTTAGACGACACAGCAATGTAGAGCTGTGTGTCATCTGCATAGCTATGAGTCGATGCCAGCAATAATGTATAAAAGGTTAACAAAAAACAGAGGACCTAGAACTGAACCCTGTGGAACACCATAGATCATTTTACAGTAAAACATCTTGATGAAAACAAACTAAAAATTCACTAAGATTTAAAGTTTTGCAGTGTTTTAAAAAATTCCCATCCTTTATTCTCAAAACATTTACATAGTGCATTTTGTACTGATCAGGTGAATGCAGCCTAAATTAAGCGTAATGGGAAATCTTCTACATGGCATTTAACAATAACACCAGTTTTTGAGTTTTGCAGGGAGGATGTTGGAGTGGACGTAGCCATGCCCAGGATGAGCTGTAGAAAGTTCCCTACTTTTCCTGATTTAATATCTAAAATGCAGTTTAAAGGGCATAAATTGGCTGTAAGTCATTGGAAGACATGGCAACATAGAGCTGTGTGTCATCTGCACAGCTGTGAGTTGATGCTCATGCATGCTAAAAAGTGAAGGACCTAAGATTGATCCCTGAGGAGCACTACAGTTCATTTTACAGTAAAAAAAATCTTAATAAACTACCCATACAATAAGATTTTTGTATCTTCTGTTTAAGAATTGTTTCTATCAATAAATTCTCTGATTACTTGGTGTCAGATTATTTGATGATTAACTGAAATCTTTTGATCAACTTTTGTTATATATCTAGTTAAATGAAAACCTTAAAACGTGATCTCAGTAGTTATAAATGTAACTTTTAGAGGCAGTTTTCCCCTCAAACTAACTAACTGATCACAGATGACATTGATCATTTCAAGTGGTTAGCTAATTGATTCATAATTGTCCCTAATATTCTGGATGGTTTTTGGGACATATTGGCTGTTGAACCCTTTGTTGTGAGATTAGCAGCCTTGTTCATGAGGTAGCCTCCACTTTTTTCTGTTTCCAGGCTAAAATGCAGGCGGCAAGCTTCTGGTTCGCAGCAGGTAAACCAGTTCAGCAGGTGGGCTCTGACCTCTGAGACTCTGAGCGTCTCTGAAAGCTCATCTGTGATTCTTTTGGCTGAGTGTTCCCTGCCCTGCTTGCTCATTTGTGTGAAACAGAAAAAAGGAGTCAGTGTCCAGATTGCGGTGCATCTGCTGTTTTTCAGTGGCCCGGCCTCTGCCGCCATGCAGGTGCTGCTCCTTCCCCCCCGAAGGCCACATTCTTCTGAAGCCATGTGCTGCCTGAGCAAACGGCGCTTCTGAGCGGCCTGTCCCATCGCTGACTGGCCACTGCCCCGGCAACACGCATAGTTGCTCTATGCAAATGGTCTCACTCGGGGACAGAGGCTCAGGGAGGGGGCGTCCTGAGCTCAGCAGCCGGGATAGAGAACGCAGGCTGGCCAATAAATGAAAGTTTGCCTTAAATCCCGGGGATAATAGAGGCAGAGGTTGGGGCCGAGCCTCGGAGCCGAGATAAACAGAGGGATTACTCCTTGGTTTTGCATCACTTGCTCTCCTCTGGGTGGCCCTTAACCGTCAGGAGAGCTCAGAGGGGAGAGGGGGAGGCAAGAGAAGAAAAAACGTTTAACACATGGACATTCACACAGCACATCGGGGGAAAGGAGTGAGCCTAATTCCATCAAAGACGCAGAAATTAGCAATTAATTTATTCCAACCTCCCCGCCCCCACTCCTTTTCTATTTTCAGCCCAATTGTTGGCGAGTTCTGCGACATCTGGTCCAGAACAGCCACTGCACCGGACGACGGATGCTCCCTCCATTAAAGCAGAATGGCAGAGAAAATCTGCCCTCTTTCATTCACTTCTTGTCCATGGGAGATTAGTTTGGTTCCATGTGAAAAGTAATCATTAAAAATGTTGCTCTTTTTGCAGGCCATGCATAACCACGGCGGTGTTGCCTTTATTTGCAATTGTAATTTAAAGAATAATTAAAGAAGTTAAATGATTCTGTAAATGTAGAACAACTTGAGTCTTTGTGCTCAGGGGTGCATGAACCTTCGCCTTATGGCTGGTTGCTCTGATAAACTCGGTAATGAAAGAATGTAGCACCGCACTAATGACAAATTTTGAAGTGTTTTGGATTTGCTCTCTCTCTGTCCTCAGCTCACACTGATGCCTCTGACTTAAATCCACGATGGAGTGTTGGAGCAAAAATCACTGATTGGATGATTCGCTGATAGAGCTTGTTTAATTATTGGAGAGGAAGAAAAAGACAAAAACATCTCTCCCAAAACAAACACAACATCTAACTAGAATAGAATCATTGAATTAGAGCTCTTATTATTGCACATTATTATTTTTGCATATTGTTAATGCACAGTATTATGAGTGGATATTGTCACTGCATATTATTGTTGGGATTACACATTTTTGTTGCCATTTTTGCACATTGTTGTTACTGCAGATTGTTGTTGATGGACATCATTATTATTGCACATTTGTGTATTTATGGGTATTGACATTATTACACATTCCTAACGTTGAAATTTGCTGGAAATGCACAGAGGAGTGTGCATTGTGCATTTGCACATTGTTGCAATTGTAGTGTGTGATAAGGACTTTGTCATTATTGCATGACAATCATTGCATATTGTTGCAATTGCACAGAGTGATTGGTGGACAATATGTTTTGCCCATTTATTTGCTGATATTTGCTTATATTTCTTGCACATTGTGTGATTGCACATTGTTCTTCGAGATTGGTGATTGTCTTTATTGTACATAAGTATTGTTGCATATTGTTAAGTTTGCAGTGTTTCTGTGTAATATTTAAATTTTTTGTGCACATTTTCATTACTGCACAGTGTTATGGAGTAATTTTGTCACTTTTGCACTGTGTTACTATTGGACATAATCGTATATATATTTGTATTATTGCACATTGTTGTTATTGGATGGTGTAATTGTTAGACGTTGTCATTGTTCATTGTTGTTGTTTTTTTTTCATTTTTGGAGTATTTCCTTTTCATCTTTAAACAAGTGGAAAAAAATGAAAGTGATTTTTTAAAAATAATTGTGCCTTCATGTTTTTATTTATTTATTTATTTTTACTTTAAGGTACTATAAAGAGTTTTTAATCAGTTACGGACAGTCTGAAACTGATACTAATGCTCTCTATGACCTTTAAAAGACAACAAAACTATCAGTAACAGTTTTTTTCTCCTTTTTTTGATGCCTAAAATCATTGTGAGAGAACCTCTTTTTTTCCCAAATAGTAATTTAGACTGACTGAAATTTTTAATTTTTGAAAGACTAAAAAATGAGCTTTTTGTCTGGAAATAATTCTTTTGCTTGTTGATTAAAGGGCAAGAGGTTTGTCCACAGGGGGTGCCAAAATCGACACAAACCAAAAGTTTCTCACTGGAGCTTTAAAGCCAGTTATTTTACAACAACTTTATTCTCAGAAGAAAATGATTTTGGCATGACTTAATTGTGGTGAGGAGATGAATCTGAGTAAGATTAGGACTTAAGATATATTTTTAAACTTGATTTTTTTTTTAAGGTGGCTCTAACACTCTGTCATAGAGATGTTTTTATAGCAGAACAACCTTTAGGGCGTGACGTTCAAAGGATTAAACAGTTTTATTTTTCAGTCAATTAAAAATAAAGACAATTCTTAAATCTATATAAAAGTATTCATTACATCTTCCTTACTTCAAATTTTCCCTTTTTTCAAATTTGTCATACTATATCTCAGATTGTTAAAAGTAAATGTAAATAATGATCATATACATGTAGACCAATGTTTGGGGATTTACCACCAAGTGGATGGGACATAAAGAAGCCTCAAATGCATCAAATTTTACTGCAGTGAATAAATGATAAAATGATAATAACCAGAGCAACAATTTGATCAAAAACAGTTTTATCTAGAATGCTGGAAAAAGTGAAACGTGCATCTGAGTTTTGGTTCATGTTAATGCTTGATGTTTAAAACAAACATGACATTAAATTTGGTGTTTATTGAAGATCAGGAAATTTTCAAAATCTCACACAAAAGGAGCTGAAATCATCATATTATTGGTCTTGCTGCTTAAAACTCTTAAACCATCATTTAGAAATAAATGAATCATTAAATCTGGTGATGGCTTCCTTTTTGCAAAAAAACCCTCCAAACTTTCAAAATGGACTCACATAACTCCAGGTTTTATAATCTTTATTGATTTAAAAAAATCTGGATACAGTGATGCACAGTGATTTTTTTCTAAAATAATCTGCAACTACACTTTTACTGCATGGATCAAATTAACAGAGAAACTCTCGATTCAGCATCTCTGCGACTCTCCTGTTCGTCTGGGTCTGTTATAAACACAGAGGAGAGATGGCCTTGTATCAATCACATCAGCCTCCCTGTGAGGTGCACCATCAGCAGCTTATTCCCATCTCCCCGATCATAACACACACTCAGGAGGAAAGACACATAACCTAAGCTGTAGTGGAAATGAGCTGTTGACATTATTTGAGGTCATTGTCCATGATAGCAGGGCAAACTGCTGGGATTTAAAGCTTAAATCCCTCCACCTACATCCATTACACATTTAACTGCATCCGTTAATGTCAGCCTGCCGAGTCCCAAATCCATCTAAACTCAAAACTGAACAAGTTTGGCCACTTTTCTATTGTTAACAACACATTTTAAAATCAACAGTTTGGACTTTTTCAAACTCAAACATTCAGAAAAGTCCAACGAATCTCCCAAGAAGAAGGTTAGGAAGAGGAATGGGGGTGATGAAGCTCCAGTGGAGGTGACATTGATGGCTGTGGTTGTTTCTGGGAAGGTCTGAGGTTTCCTAATGGTAGCAATGCTGCACCAATTTGAAGCTGGGTGGAGCTGGAAACAGGCCGAGCTGAGGCAACCCTTTCCTGGAGGAAAGAAAAAATATGAAACTATAATCAGGTAAATGGATGCAAAATTTTTGGCGTTGGAAAACTATCTGTGGTTTGACAAATCAAAATTTATTTTGGCATTCTTTTTGGAAATCATGGATGCCACATCCTTTCTCTCCAAAAAGAAAGATTGTGTTTGAAATTAAGGCAGTCTGAGATGGCTTGGAGCACAAAGGAAAACTGGCTGTGGATGGTGAAGTCATAATTTGCCATTCTTTTTGGAAATCAAGGATACCACATCCATTCTTTTCAAATGTTGGGGACTGAGTCTGTTTGAGGTGGACTAGAGCAAAGAATGAAACACAATGTACCCTGAAAAATCAATTGTTGCTATTTTTGGATAACATGGATGTGACACGCTATTAAATGAAGAGCCACCATCTTTGGTCTGAAAATCAAAATTTTTTACTCTTTTGAAAATCATAGACAAAACATCCTTTCCTTTAAAATTATAGAGGAACCAAGCCTGTTTAAGATGGACCGTAGCAGAGCCAAAAACTGTTGTGTGCTGACACTAAATTTGTTTCACGGTATTCATGGGAACCATGGACAGCCCAGCATGTCATCTAAAATGTAAAGGGACCCAGAATCACTACACTTCCTGTAACTTGTTAACTTTTAGTTTGGATCTTGCTTTGGTAGAATTTTAAAACTGTTAAAATAGCTATGACAGGACTTTGTGGAGGTTGTGCGAGTTTCCTAATTCGACCCAAGGTTGTCCTGCTGCTATCAAAGAACCGATCAGTGATGATATTGTTTTTTCCCATGATCCTCTTGGCAACGTCCTGCGAAGGAAAGCAGCCCAACATGACAAAAAAATCTTGAAAGGACACAAAAGCACAAAGAGGCGGAGGGCGCAGCGGCAGAGGCGGCCGTCTCGGACCCAACAGAGGACTCGGCCTTGCCATACAGCCGGGCCACTCCAATTCTGAGCGAATGTTAATAAGATTGCTCTGATCCCTCCGGTGCTTCCCATGTTTTCAACACCTTCAAGGACCACATGGTGCTCGCAGCATAAAGACAACTAAATGAGAAATCGGAGTGTTTTTTGTGACGCCCGGGGGCCTCTTCGCTTTTCAACCTGGCCGACCATTCAGTGTACCGCCTCGAAAAAGAAAAGATAAGAAAGAGACTCCGACAGGGGGTGTGGATGAGCAAACTTCAGGGAAATGGCATATTTGTGAATCTGAAGTAATAATCAATTTATAGCCACGCCAGGGCGAAGCCTTTGGCTCAGGAAGAATTGAAAAAGGAGGGAAGAGAAAGCGAAGAGAAGATGTTCAAATTTGGAGGCTGTTTCTCACAACCACTGTAATGAGATCACTAACATATTGAGCCGGCCTCCACTATAGCCGCCAAACAACAGGCTCCCAGATAAAAGGTGAATGGGCCCGGGTTCCTGCTGGCTGGCTCAGAGGCACTTTAATAGCACAGCGCTCTATGAAAGGTTCCCGGGCAGTAGCTCATATTAGTGGCAAAGCAGACTGCTTAATAGGATGATGCCTTTTGGCTTTTGTCATGAGATGATTAAGGGCTTCGTTGTCACTGCTGCCTGTTGAGCACAAGGCACAAGAATCCACTCTGCTTGGCTTATTGTCTGAGTCGATGTGGTAGAAAAGGGGGCTCTTTTGATGAAAACACCTCTCAGGGATCTATCAGGTGAGCTCTGCTTTGGAGTCTCACATCGACGCCCCCTTCAACGTATCTCGAGAGCTTTGTTTTCTTCTAAAGACCCTTGAATGTGTCGTTGTGTTCGGACAAAGACAAGGAGAGCAGTAAGAAGATGAAACCTGCTGATAATGGTGCTTGAATAAAGAAAATGTGTGTGCACATCTGTAATTAGTTTATATCACTGTATTATGGATTTTACTGCAATGAAAATGGCCTCAATTATATTAATAACACCATAAAAGGGACCTCCTGAAAACTCAAGGATTCTTGCTCAAGAGCATTTCTGTCCCATTCAACACTTTCAACAGAAAACAAATAGTACAAGGACAAAAAAATTCTGTAATCGCCGGAAGAAAATCTCCAACTAATGAGGTTCATTTCTAACAGGGTAGTAACAGGATGGAGCATAAAAAGGACATTCAGAGAGGCTAAGTCCCTTGGATGGGGAAAGATGGGGAGAGGTTCATCACTCTGTGAGAGACTGCGTCAGCTAACAGTTCAACAGTTTCAGAATAATGCTCCTGAGTGTCAATTATGAAATTATCATGATCTACAGAACATATTATCATTTAAAGATTCAGAGAATAGGGGAAAATCTCTGTAGAAAATAGACAAGGACCAAAACCAAGACTGGATAGCCATGATGTTTGGGCAGTACTGGATTAGAAACAGATATGACTCTGGAGTGGAAATCACTGCATAGGCTCAAACCATTGTCTGTGAACACAGTGTGTCTCTTCATTTACAGATGAAGGCAAAATCTGAACCATGTGAAGACAAAACCTTGTATAGACGTGGTCCAGAAGTTCCTGTGACTTTTGTAGGCCAGAGGCTGTTTGAGATAGATTGGGACAAAGTGGAAAACTTGATATAATTTTTTTGTTGTTATTGTTTTTACATTCTTTTTGGAAATGAAGGACACCACATCCTCCTCCATAAAATGAAGCGGGCCTGATGTGAAATACCTGGGGTATGTCGTATCAAATTTTGACATACCCATTGATGCCATTATGTCCACTCAAGAGTAGGGGGAGCACCTAGCTTGTTAGAAGCACTTAGTGTAAAAGCCAGAATCCCTGATAGTATGGGGATTTTGAAGAGGCCGTTTGTGGAAAGGCTGGTGACTTGAACTGCTTAATTTACAAATATTAAGCAAAAAGCTTTTTTGAGATGTTACATGTTAATACGTTTTGATCCCGTGGTTTAAAGGTTTTGCCCACACCCTGACATGCGCAGCCTTATCATTCAGGAAGCTACTCCAGGATTTTTCTTGAAACTGCATCAAGGTGGCTGACTGTGAAGGGGGGCTCTCCTCTTGTTCAAAGCACACTGTTCAGAAGCCAGCATGTGTGATGTGAAGAGTTTATGTTACGGTGGAGAAAAAAACAACAACCTTAAAGTGATAATATTCTCATCTTCAAGTTTGAAATAAAAAGAAAGATTTCATATTAGGTGATCGTCACCATATTCTGCACGGAGAAAAAGTGATTGAACAGGATGGATGTTGGCCAGATTGACGTTAAACAGAGAATGTCCTTTTTTTGCAATCAATGCAGGTCCTTTCAATCAGGAGAGCTTTATTCTCGGGATTAGTTTTGGTGACTGAAGAAGCTAGGCTACCTCCGAAACCCCCCGCCATCTGCAACTGCGCCCCCTCCCCACTCTCCTTCATCCCCCCTCCTCACAAAAATAGCACAAGGATACTGGCAGCCTTTTCACTTGCTCCTAACAAGGCGGCTCCAGAGCACAGGCCCACTCCAAGTAATTAAATCAATCCCTTTGTGTTCCCCAATATTCCCCTTCAGTGGGTGACTGCCTGAGATCTGATTGTGGCTCTTCATGCATATTCAGGACAGAGCTACAACTTCTTCTTAACAACCTCTTATTTCTTATATTTCAAGAGCAGCCAAAATGCGCCAATTTCTTGACTATTTTTTTGCAGAAATGTCCCAGAATTCATAGTTCTGGAGCAGTCACTGACTCTGAAGACGAGAAGAAGTTAGGGTGGGAGCCTGAAAGACAAATTGGATTAGCAAGTATTGGATTAAAGGTAAAACGGAGGGAGAACAAACAAGAAAAGCTGCCTGTGATCACAAGGTTTAATATATTTCTTTTCCTCGCCGATCCCTTTCTTCTCTCCCTCCCCCCCTTTTCTTTCTTTCTTTTCGAGTAAAGATCCCAAGCTTAAGACAGACTTATTAAAACTGGGATTAATTTGTAATGCTCCCCTAACCCTCGGGGTCAACCAAAGATTTGTTATCTAAAGCAAACAGGAAAAAATGTTCTATAACGACAAGGGCTTTAAATCCGTGTCTGTCAGGCTCGTGGGAGATTTTAGCTTTGTCGGGATGGTGTTATCCCTGAGATATTTATTTGAGCAGGGAAATAAAACCCTTTGAGGACATCCGGATGGTGGTTAATTTAATGATTTCTCTAAGTAGTTGAGTAATTGAGCTTTTTCCTCCTAAAATCCCCTAAAACAGATGCTCACTGACACAAACTTCACCATAAAACATGCAAAAGATGTCAAAGGTAATTTATACCTTGATAGTAAAAATGGAGCATGAAAGGATGGGAAACAAATCTCATGCAGTGTTAGAAAATATCCTGTTTTTTAATCAGCAGACGATGAGACAAAACAGTGTTAGGAGTGCAGGACACTGACTCTCATTAGTCTTATCTTCTGAATGTCGCACTGCCTCAGATTGTGATCTTAATCTTATTTGGTTATGGAGGCTTCGTTGGCTCCGACATGCACAAAGACCTTTGGGGAACAAATCCACATCCTTCACAAGAAAGAGAAAAAAGAGTAAAGAAATAAGCGCCTTGTTTTCTGCAATGTTCTTCATGGTCAAGGTTCGAGGATCCAAGCAGACCAGGTTATAAAGCTTAAGGGCTCAATTCTATCAGCTGTTCCTGTTTCATTTTATTACAATAGAAGTTTATTCTCTCCTTTGTTTCTTTTAATCTTTTATACGAGCACATTCGTATCATCATTAACTTGGATTTAGTAGCATTCAGCATGTTGAGATTCTACTTAAACATGTTAGTTATGCTAATATATAGAGGAGACTATAGGTAATTGATTATGTAAAGTATAATGTTTAGTGATCAGGTGGTTATACACATATCCTCATGGTATTCAAGACAGGACAAGGTCTTGCTCACCCTCTCAAGACTCAAGTTTGTATAACTACCTGCTCCCTAAACATTATCCTACAGATTACTCACTAAGGATCACTTCCTTTTCTATGAATACAGTTTATTACTGCATCCACTAACGCAGTTTAAACTGTACCATTCAAAGGGAGACAAAAGCATAGTCAAAAAACTGTTCTGTAGTCTGACTATATATAGCCTAACATTCTTTTTGGAAATCATGGATGTTGCATCCTCAGCTCTAAAACAAAGAGAGACTGCCTGTCGTCCGCCTACAGTTTGAAAGCAACAATAAAAATGATCGTTTATAGCATTTAATATTTAAAATAGCAAAGATTGCACAGTTCGACATTCTTTTTGGAGATGATGGACGCCACATCCTCTGCTTTAAAATAAAGAACTGACTGTATTCTGCACACAGTTCGAAAAAAGGATGTGGCATTTAAAAAAATCATGACGACAAACATTAATGCAAAAGAAAATGTATCCCTTTCATGTTTCAAATAGCAGATTGCACTATTTGACAGTCTTTGTGGAAATCATGGGCATTTCAAAGCAACTTTTCAGTTCACAAAATTGGTCCATTATCAGTGATCTTACAAGTTTACGTCATTTACAGAGTGTTAGTAAGACAAAAAGCGATGCATCACAGCAGGAAACCCTGAAACAACTTTTTAAAACATAAACCTGGCATCACATTTAAAAAGATATAGAGATTTTTTATAAGAAAAAATACTTTTCAGTTTCAACATCTAGTGTCTTTGCTCTGATTTTAATGAAAAAGGGTTTTAAATTATTTTCAAACCATCAAATTAGCTGTTGTCAACATTTTACACAGCATACCAACTTTTGTGGAAATAAGGGGAAAAAGCACCTTGTAACCTGTAGACCCTTTCATGTCTGTGTCCATCACAGGGGTTGAGTTTTATAATTGCTTTTCTGTTGAATGTACCTTGTGAAGCTAAACCAAACTGACTGTGGGTGGCCTCATTGTGAATCAAATGTTGGTAATGGTTTCTTAAATGATATAATTTCTATTTTTCAGGGTATTTTCCCCTTTGAAAGCTTGTTGACCTAAAGAATAGAGAAGAGGTTGACTCATCATTCAACAGCTTGAATCAGCCTCGTTTCAGCCCCGACACTGAAAGCGTGATCAATTTCTCCCTCCTCCATTTTCCATCTGTAATCCTCCACAAATTGCCCTCTGCTGCAGTTTGTGTATCAGCTATTTGCACTGGATTAATGTGAGTCACTGGTGGCAAGTGTTCAAATCAATGTTTATTAATGGTTTCTTTAAGTGTTTAAAGATTAAGTCATTAACATATTGATGAAGTTTTTGAAGTTGCCCAGGGAGAGAAAAGGAGCTGGGGCTGAAGAGGCTTCGATGAGCTGCTGAATTGACACCAAACAAGAGGGTGAGGAAGAAAACAGAGGAGGAAGAAGAACAAGTTGTGGGTTTTAACAGAGGACAGCAAACAAGAGGGTGATTTGTTTATTAATTCTTCTGATTATTAAAGCTATAGTGCGTAACTTCTACGTGTCTGTAAATATCTGTCTCACCCAAGCCACTACAAGAGGAGATGAAACAACACTGATTAAGCCGTTCGGCTCCTCTAACAACTCACAGTATATTTCAGGATTTGTTCTTTTTGTATTTGGTGTCTTTGGTGACATTCCCACACCGAGGCACAGGAAATGACGCGCTTCTAGTAGCAACATGGCAGAGGACCTAGAGAAGCAACCAAGAGGTTCAGAAGTGGATCCCACTAAAAAGAAAAATCTTTCCCATTCAGCAGAAGGTCTTTTGGCAAAGACAGAGAGTGACAAACGAAGAAGACTATCATGGAATTGCATTGGCGTCACTTTTTCTCGATGGAGAGCCCTGAAGGAGGAGATTGGACTGAGGTTCGACACCGATGTTGCCCTGATACTGCTGGATAAGTAAGTGACGCTGTTTATTATGAGCAGGATATGTTGCTGTTACATGTACTGGACCGAGTATTTTATTATTATTTTCTTAGAAAATGGTGCTATGAATGTAATGTATTGTTAGCAGCCTGGTGTTCGCCACATTGTCCAACATTAGCCTAACGAGCAGTAAGTTAAAAAGTGTGTTTAGCCCGTGTTGCTGTGTGTAACCTACTGCGGAGAGTCTGTGTGCTGTGACGAGTAACTTTAGTGGCTTACACGTTGTGTTGACAGTTACAGTCCATGAACCGTGAAGAGCAGTATGCGATGAGTAATGAGTATTACTCTGTGTACGGGTTACACAGGGCCATATGTCATATTGAGGTGCTGGCCGTATCGCTGTAATAATGCAGAAATCCTCCAGGGGGCGATAGAAGTTACACACTTGGGCAGAATCTACGATGCAGTTGTATGACCTAAAACACGTCTATGCAGCCCCTCAATTGAACACATGGAAGAAATAACCACTGTGCAAAATTTTTAAAAACAGGACTAAAAAATGATACAATAATGATCCATCTTATCATGTAAGAGCAGGTTTGAATCCTTCTCTTTTCTCAGGTGAACAACATTGGTGCTCATATTGGGGGGAATTCAGGTTTTTTAAGCGATCCAGATCATTTGGCTCAGCTAGAACCATCTCAAACAGCAACAGTGCCGACTGCCAAGTCGATCATGACCGACACATCACTGGGCTGCAGGGCAGTCAGTGGTAAATCAGGGGACTATGGATGGTGCGTGACACAGACTGTAGCTGTATGTGAGCTACAAGTATCCTCTGATTCAGAAAGGTCCTGAGGTCTTATTGTTACTAAGTCCCAGTCCTGATAGCAGGAGACACCTGGTTGAAGGGCTTACAGTTTACACACCTGCACCACCAGGTAACTTGGGGTCTCTCCTGGTCCTTAGCTGGCTCTGAAGTTTCCCTCCTCTCTTCTTTGGTCTGTGAGTCTCTGTCATTGCACGCAGAGAAACAGGTATATTATTGCTACAGCAAAGGCAGCCACTTACACCCATGATAAAGTTTGGTTTAGGGTTTGAATCATGAGTAGTATGGTGAAGCTGAACATGTCTGCAGCAACTATAACAATATGAGTATTTGATACCGCATCAACAAAGACTAACTGATTGCCTCTATCACAGTCTAACGGCTAATCTGTATTTCTGTTTTCAGTGTCTTCAAAGAATCTGTTTTTTTGTGGTGCTCTCGTTGAGATGCGACGCAGTCAGCTGGGATTGATTTTACCATTCAGCAGCGACCTGCCACAGCCCTTTGGCTCAGCATGGTAATTCGCTCTCTCACCTGATAAGGTACCTGATCCATAATAAATCAATTCTAATTAGTTTTATGTTTGGAGGAAGGAGGGGGATGCACTTTGCTTTAGGGGACTCTATTTTCTGCCACCAGTCATCTGCACACCTGATATCAGCTAATCTCCTGATTATTAAGTGCGGATTATTGATGGAGGTAAGCGCTGCCTCTTGAATCAAGGACACGCAGCTTTTGTTTCCTCGTCAGTGTTTGTTTTAGGGTGACATCTGTGAGTGTGATGGGAGGGTACGAGAACTTCTCCTGATAGAGGTTTCCTGACAGCCTGGAGGTTTTGGAGAGATGGGATTGCTTTGCCTTTTACCTGTTAACATTCAGTCTGTCAGAAGAGAAAAGGAGAGCAAGAAGTTAAAGACGTCAGCCTGCTGCTGGAAAAACAAAGCAACCAGTCAGTGCTATCAAGAAGTTGGAAGGCAGAACAAGCCCTTGATCTATCTTGATATACAGCAAGCAAGTCCAGAAAACAAATACTGCATATTCAGAAACCAACCAACATTTAAAGGTCCCATATTTTACTCCTTTTCAGCAGGTTCACATAGGTCTCAGAGGTCCCAGAACAGTCAATTTTAAGTTTCTCTCTCTGGAAGAAAGTGGCTTGCGCTATGGTACCATGCACTAATGTTTACACAGAGTGCTAGGTATGGTTCGTAGAAGCGCTGTGGTCCAGCCGTACCAGTTTGATCCAGAGTCTGACCCAGAAGGAGAGGCTCTTGAAGAAATTCCAACTCACTGGCTGCAGCAGGATGTTTCTGAATGGTTAGTTACAAAGCTAGGTAACATGAGCTCCTGCTAACATTTAAATCTCCGCTGTCTTCTCGTTTCTTGGAGCTCTTTTGGTGAATGGGCAATATTATAAGATATTTATCTCTCGTGACTATGTTCTTGCAGTCTACGGAAACAGATTTCTGAGCTGTTTTGTGCAGCCAACAACGGAGCAACTGCAGTGCCTTGCTCGTACAGTCGCCATTTTGAACCAGCATATGCAAGGGAGAAAAACAGTGTCGGAGTGGATATTTTTGGGGGGCAGAAAAAACATATTGGGCAGGGTCACAAACCTCGAGGGGAGGAGTTATTGCTGTCTATGACGTCATGGAAGGCGATAGTTTCAATCCGCTCGTTCGAGCAGATATTTTCTGAAAGGTGGAACAAGCAAGAGAGGGAGAGGATAGAATTTTCTCATTTTAAGGGTTTGTAGGCAGGCTGGGGATGCATATTATTGTTAGAAAAACATTCTAAAGTGAATTTTGCATAATATGGGACCTTTAAGACAAAGGTGGGCCTTTCTATTACCTCCTGCTTCTGCTTCTGCTTCTGCAGTAGGGGGAAAAAAAACATCAAGCAGAAAGTGTCTGTATTGGTAAAAAAAGAGGGGGAAACCAGATGGCCTTAGACTGCAAACATAAGTACACTGGTAGTATAACCAGCATTCTCAGCACCCAGAGAATTTTGTCAAATGTTAATATTGCCGATAAAGGTTTGCTAAAAACACAGGTTTAAATGCACCTGTTTCATAAGGAAGAAGAAAGGGCTACTAACATATTTGCTGAAGTTTCTCTTCTTGTACACCAAAAGTCAACCACAGAGAGAAAGGCAGAGGCTCTAGAGCGGAGCCTTGAGGTACTCCATATAACAGAATTAAAGGGCTAAATTACTTTTACACCCGTTGTTCAAGGCAAACAAGCAGACCCTGAATAAAGTATTTATGGATGACCTTTTCAGACAAAAATCATTGGTGATTTTTTATGTTGTTCAAAAATAGACAGGGTCAATCACATTTTTTTTTACTGTTGTAGGGTATCTGATACGGACAGGCACCAGATGTATGCGGGGTCATCTAAAACAAAAAGTCAATGAAAAGTATATATGAGGACCTGATATTCGGTTTGAGCCTCAGTGACCTGCCAAGAATGTGTTACAGGTTTCTACTCCTCTGGGGCCAATGAGGAGCCAGAAATCTGACAGCAGCGAGAAGAAACTCTGTCTAAAATTTGTGAAACAATAGAGCATCTCGCTGTCATATCAGTGCCAAGGTCAACACAGCTATTGGCTAATAATCCAAAATAAAGGATTTGTTTGTAGTCAAGAGAAATCTAGTAACTGGATTTAAGTTTGGGAGTGGGGGTATCATGACAGACTTTTTTGAGTTATTTCGCTCCACTATTGAACTTTTTAGTCTTGCCATGAAAGAGACCTGGCTTGCGCTAACCACACAAGACCAGCAACCAAAAAAAATAAAAATCAAGCAAAAAAAAAAAAAACAAGAAAAAAAAAACTTCCATAAAATTCAATTAAACAAAATATATGTCTCCTCGTCTCTTCATTTACAGAATCAGCCTCGCTAGAAGGAATTTTAAGGGTAAACATCAACCCATCCCCCCTCCTCAGAGACACGAGGTCAGCTTGTGATTCCTGAGTTAACAATGTGCCAGCACACCTCATCCTGCCATCGATTCCGCCTCCATTTATTCCTGTTTTGGTCCACACTCGGGGTCTCTGTATTTGAAAGTTGATGCTCCTCTCTGAAAGACAGATTCATGCATAGGCCCGGCCACCTTTGTAGCGCATCGCAGTTTTATATGATAAGCTTTTTTAGACGTTCAAAATCAATATGTAATCCTGTGCAGGGGCTTATCCCCGGGACCGGGCCATTTGTGGGGCTCTTTGAGCTTTGTTACTGGTCTTCTGGCAGCTCGGTGCTGCAGATTGATTAGCTGCAGAGCCAGAATCCTATCAAACAGCTGGCTCTGATGATGGAGCAAACTCTTAGAGCCATGAGTTGACTGCACCTGGAGATAAGAAACGATGGAAATTCCCCTCTGTCGTACACACTGAGGGGCAGAAGGGAGTGCTCCTTTCTGCCCTCTGCTCCACGGCTGATCTGAACAGGATCAGGAGCTGTTTGGGAGGTATACCTACATATTTAACACATTCACCTGAGACTTATCCAAAGTGAGAGCTGCAGCAAAGAAAGCTATTCTTTCTGCATCAAGTAGAACACACTACAACAAATCCTGGTTTGAATTTGATCTCCTTTCCATCAACATTTGTGTGATATTAAGGAGACAGTTACAGGCGGGATTTGAAGAAAAACAGGTAAAACATTTATCATGAAACCCATCTAATGCCACACTTGGTGTTGGGATGGCTTTTATGTAAGAGGTTGCAGTGTAAACAGAATCTGTAAATAATCTCAGTTCAGAGCCCGCTTAAAAGTATGGAGTCTAGTAGAGTTTCTATTCTGGTTTGAAGAGTGTCCTGGAGTCCCAAATATTTTTTTGTATATGCTCAGCACAAGGCCTGACACACGCCTACGCCACTTTTAGCCAAATTTAAATTAAGTTTCATTTTCCCTGCTAATTTCATAAAGCTTTGTTTTGTTTTGTTTTGTGTTTCACATTTAATGACTTTTTTTCCCTTTTGAAACTGTTTAGACTATGGGAGGCCATTGTTGACTTCATTCATAAAATCGTGTCTTCTGCAAATAATCATTATGATCTTGATTATTAATCAAGATCATTGATGTAACTAAACAATAGTAGTCCTAAAATGAAGCCTTGTGGAACCCCACAGAGATCCAGATAAATACACATGCGAACTAGTTTTTTGGTGTTTTTTTTTTTTTTTTTGAGCACAGCATGAAGTAATTTTAAACATCTGTTCATCAGGGACTTAGACATTTAGAAAATACCTTTTCAAGGTAAATCTGCACTGGGTTTCACCTGTTAAACTAAACCTCAAAAGAAAACAGTACAAGAAGACTTTTGTAGGAGCATCTTGAAATATGACTTCTTTGAATCATTTTCTAGTTCTTCACGTCTCTAAAGGATGTCTTTGCTAATCGTCTTTTTATGAGCAGCCATTTTGCTTTAAGACATCTGGGAAATGCTTTATCCCCTTTGATATTTTCTTCTCCCTGTCAGTGCAGGGGGTGTCAGGGAGCAGAGTGTGTGCATTCCTGCCAGTGCTCACATGGTTACCGCTGTTCGCATTGTTGGAGAAATCTGAATGAGCGTCGGCCGTGCAAGTTTTAACGTGATTGCCCGAGGGGCAACCAAGTGAAAGAGTGAGGAACAGAGCCAGAAAGGAGGGGAGGGGGGGCATAATCCTAAAAGGATTGGAAGTTACCTACTCTCCTCCTCCTCCCCCACACATACACTCTCTCTCTTTCTCTCTCTTTCTCTCTCTCCCTCTCTCTGTCTTGTTGAGGGCTGATGGGTAGTGGATGGGGTCAGTTGGTTTGGTGTCTGATTTCTCCCTCCCCTCTTCTTCCTCACTGTTTGCCTTCTTAATGAGGGGGGCGGGACTTGACTCTGTGATTGACAGCTACATACTGCTTCTTGTTAGGACTAGGCTGTGTGTACTGTACTTGACTCTGAATGATGAGTGCTTTTTCTCATTTCCTGTCTCTCCTCAGGTGTCGACAGTGTGTCAGTCAAATCGACTCTTACAGCTGACGAGTTTTTCAAAACAACACTGTTAAAACATGGCGGCCGACAAAGAGTTTCACACCAATCACTTACTCTAAAACACACCACAGGAACAGGGACTAAATCCCAAATGTTTCCAGTTACCTGAGAGATCATTTGGACCAGAACTGAATCATGATAAATTTCAATTTTTAGTGCAAATTAAAACTGTCTTGAACTGTTTTGTCACCAAAATCAAAGACACAAACTACTTTAACAGCTACTTCTTTGAAAATCATACGCATGTTGAGAGTTTACTTTGATCAAAAACATTACTGTAACAGTTTAACTTAATATATTTCTAAATCTAAGCCTATAAATTGAAGTCAGACAGGTGAGGCTGTGATGGTGTTTTTCGACCTTCAGATCTGATTCAGTACTTCCGCAGTTATTCGCATTTCCATTAACAAAAGTTTGGAAAGTTGACCAAATAACTGATTCATCCCATCATAGTTTTTTGGCATTCTTCTCCTGGGGTACTGATAAGTAGTGTAAGTTCACCCTTAAGCTCCTATAAGAAATTTTTGGGTTGCAATGTCTTGGTGCCCCTAGAGACAAAGCGCAACTTTCTTGCGTCACGTATGTGCTTCAAAAACTCTTCAATAGTAATATTTGTGGATCATTGCAACTGAAAAAAAAAATCTATAAACGCTGTTCTGGTATTTTGCTGCTTATGACTTTGTCCAACCCCTATCCTGCAGCATGTGTGTTTTTATCCTAAATCTTCTTCATGTCACAGAAACATTCTGGACATAATGGTCCACATCATATAGATAACTTAAAGTTGTGTACAAATGATTACACATGATGAATAAAAACATACAGACTGGGCTAGAAATCTCTGTTGACATACAGTCAAAGTAAGTAAGACTGGAATTAATTCATGTGGAGTTTCTTTAAGGAAAGAACTGAAAAAGTATTTCAGACTCATGGTGTCCACTTTTCTGTATGCTTGCTCTTCTTGAGAAAAACAAGCATATCCACATGGACAAGTGTCAGTCAAGAGCACAATCAGTGCACGCTTAGACAACATTAAAGTCACTGGACATGCCTGCCTTACAGGTCTGGAAATTTTTTTGCATGTCCTGTAAAAAGTTTTAAACATTACCCTAATCAGTCACCTTGAAAACCTGTTTTCAGAGACCACTCTTTGTTCATTTGTACCTGATAGCAAATCAAACAAAAACATGCTTGTTTGTGCGCTGCATTAAAGCTCCTGTGAAGAACTTTCAGTTTGAGTCAGTTTTGGTGCCCCCTGGGGAGAATGCAGTCTTTGCTCATCCTGTCCTCTGCACACTTGAATAATGACTTAAACCTCACCCTGCTGACTTTTGACAGTCAAATGTATCATTTCTGTGAATAATGTAAGTCTAGATTGTTGCTTGGCTGATACCTGCCCCCCGACTCCGGTATCAGGTATTAAAAGTTATGATATAAAATCGGTCAGTCTTGTCACTGATGGTATTGTTTGCTTTTGGAGGTCATAAAAAGACATTAATATGGTCAGGTATATTTCATAAACATCAAAAAAGGTCTGAAAGGAATTGAATCTTCTGTTGTGTCAACATATGTTTTTTTTTTTAATTGCAATAGACAGTCCTTTCTGTTTTCAATTATACCACCCTCCTCTGAACAAGCCATAAAGCATCAGGAAGCAGCTCTAACCATAACATTTGAAAATCACAGGTCAGGTCAGACATCAAAGTCCATCCATACAGTCAGACTTGAATTTTAAAAACTGACATTTACAAAGTCAACCTACTATCACCAGAAGAATGCAAACTTTTGTCCCTGCAGGACCTGGTTCAAGATACGACTACTGGAACAGAGTCTTTGCAGGTCTGCTTAAAAAAATCATTCAGACAACTGCAGCTGATCCTGAATGCTGCTTGACTGAGAAAGTGGATCACTCCAGTTCTCAGGTCTTTACACAGGTCCCCTGTTTGTCAGAGAATAGAGTTAAAAAAAATACTACTGGTTCATAAAGCAGCTAAGGTTTAGAGTTAAAAATACAAGAGATATTTTCTCATACTACATGAGCCATGAGGTTTGGGACAAGTCTGCTCTCTGTCCCTAGAGCCGAAACCAAACATGGAGAAGCAGCTTCAGTTTTTGTCCCATAAATATCTGGAACTAATATCCTTAAAAAATTTCTTCTGAATGCCCTCCCTTTGAGATTAAACATTATTCTGACATTTTTGGCCAATTTCATTAATGTGTGATAAATTATAATGCCAAAGTCAAGAAGATTGAAAATGCAAATAAGCAGAATAAAAGTGATGAAGCAGATTGACTTTTTTAAGAAAATAGAAGCATTAAAAGACAATAAAGGGATTCAAGAAAAGAAAAAAAATTACACGAAATTTGGAGAAAATAAAAACAGATTAAAAGATGTGGGGCAGTGAGATGAAAATAGATATACAGATAAATAAGTAAATAAATACAGGGCATTGATGAAAGACAGTGAAATGAGGGGACCGAGGACTTGGGAACAAATAGTTTAAACATGTTTTTTGATTAATTAATAATTAATGATGTTGAATTGAATGGAAAGTGAAATCACATGGAAGCACATCTGCAAAAGTGCGTTTTAAGACCTGATTTAAAAGATGGGGGGTGTTCCAAAGTTGAGGGTTCCTGATGAGAAAAGCTGGATCTCTAGATTTGAGCCTCGACTTTGGTGCGACAAGGAGGGAGAGTTTTTTTGTACTTATTTTACTCAATTTCCTTGTCTTAAAAATCAGCTGGTAAGTGAAATTCAAAAAGTTATTCGGACAAGTTTTTAAACCAAACTTTGTGGTACTTCAGTCTTTGCTTATTAGCAAAAAATTAGAAAAAATAAACCCCTGTGTAACTAAAATATCTTTACATATATGGGGCCTTTAATGCCTATATACTGGAGGTTGTTAGGGTCAACATTCTGAACAACTCTGAATGTTTGGTCTTCCTTTCCCAACATCCTTTCTGTACCATGTTTTACTTCTAAATTTATTGTCACGCAAAAAAACTAAATCAAAAAACAAATTCAAACTGATTCAGATTGCTTCGCCTTCAGTTTTTTTTTTCTGGTTAAATGATTAAATATTAAATTTGACTAAATTTTAAAATAGTGTTTGGGTTGTTTTTCCCTGTAATATGACATATTTGTGTTTTTTATTTTTTCATTATTATAATTTCCTTGCATTACATAACAGAAAAAAAAGTCTTTTTCAGCCTTAAAACCTTAGACCTTAATGTACTCTATCACCTTTACACACACTGTTGGTATGCAGAGTAAACGTTTCCACTCTTTCATTGTTTTTTTTAAATATCTTTTGAAAAACAGATTTAATTTGTTTACACACCTGATCAGATTATTAGCTGCAGGCTGCTAAAGATCTAAACTTTTGAAAATATTTATAAGTATTTCAATCTGCATTTTTTTTTCTGCAGATTATCACATTACAAAACCCTAAGGGAGATTAGTTTCTGTTTATGTTAATTTGGCCTGAACTTCACCTCAGTTGCACCGAGTTTTTCTTTCACTTTTGAGACAGAAATAAACTGAACCACAAAGGCTTAAAATCAACAAAGATTTCTTACCTGAGTGGAGCGAAACCTTCCCCGGTGGATCTGAATCAGAGTTTCTCAGACGTTGGAGGTGTGTGTAGTTTCTCCTCGTCCCTCCTCACCTGTCTGCTGAGCTGTACTTTTCCTCCAGCCTGCTCCAAAGTCACTGCTGTCAGCTGGTTTAAAAGGTTTTTCTGCCCCGCTCTGTGTCTGCAAGCCAGGATCTTAGAGTGTCTGTGTGTGAGTGTGTGTGTGTGTTTTCATTAAGTGTGCAGCAGGCTGGCCGGAGCCTCCTGCCTCTTCTGACAACCTGAGATTTTATGCATCATGCTTTTAATAACTGCCGACAACACAGAGGGGAAAGAAGACTCTCCAAACTTAACCCCCACTACCACACAAACACACACACACACACACACACACACACACACACACACACACACACACACACACACACACACACACAGCTCTTTAGGCGGCCTGATCCCTGGATTTATGGGCTTAGCATTAAGAAAATACTGCTGCAGTTTGGGATTAGAAGCAAAACCCCTCACAACAACAATGACAGCGTCCATTTGATATCTTGATACTTGTGATCAGTCGCTAGATTTAACACCAGAGGCCACGTCATATTTCTGAGGACACACACACACACACACACACACACACACACACACACACACACACACACACACAGATGAAAACAACAAACACACTCAAACAGGTTCATTATCATTTTCCTGTACACACACATACACAGTATAGGTTTTATATGTTGAGTGCACATTACATAGTTTGACCTCTGCCTGGGTTGAATGATATTTTTTGCTTAAATAGATTATTGTTAGTTTCTAACTCTTGTCTTTAGTTAGGCTTCTAGTCACTACAAAAGAAAAGGAAATGTTCATGTTAATTTCTTTCTATTTTTCACCATTTATTACTTTTTTTTACAGTGAAAGTTTCAATGTTTTAGTTTAATTTCAGATTTTGAATTAACAAAATTAACATTCAGTTGTTGCTGTCTAGTTTTTTTAATCCACATGTTCTTTGTTTACACTTTGCATGTGCTGATGTTCTTAACGAACATATAAACTCGCTTTAGTTTTATGAGTTTTTTTAATTTGGCTACCTAAATAGCTTTGACAAACAGAGTTGCCCATTTCAGTACAACTTTAGGACAGCATACATTTATTTGATTATTCAGTTTTTTAAAAATGACTTTGTCATTGAATGGTTATTTAAGTTGAAAATGCTCCGACAGCAGCTGTTGCACGTGTTTCAGCCTGTGTTACAGCTTTTTGCTGCCAGGGTTTTTTTTAAATCCATTTTTTTCTAACAGACTCAAAACAGCTGGTTGTGGTTACAGTGTCATGTAGGAGAATTAATACCTCCCTGTTTGGTGATAGAAACATTTGCTCATTTGAAAAAAAATATCTGAGGCCTTTAAATAGCCTTTGGTTGAGCAAAAAACTAATTTTAGCCCTAACTTAATGTCATGCTAACATTTTTTATGCTAACATAAAAGAGTATAAAAACCTCACATTTGTCTTATTTTCTTCCTAAATTTCCAGAAGTTCTAATTTTTTCTCTCTTTTGGTTTCCCTCAGGCTTTTGTAAACACATACACTCTTAAACACGCGATTAAACGTCAAATTAATCGTTCGTGTTGCTGTTGAGGTCGATTATTTTTGCGCCAAAATGAAACATTTTCGTCGTAACGGCTCCACTCTAACTTTTCTGACACGGACGTTCCAATCCTGTCACGTGGTGCGCGTTCCTTTCCAGAGGGGTGGATGTTTTGGCGCCGAGCTCGCAGCCCGATTGGTTGTTTGCATCGCTGATAAAGCTGCGGGGCGTTGTGATTGGCTCGAAGGAGGCAGACCCGCGTGCTTCATTGACTCATAGATGCGCGAGCCTCGGAGACGAGCATCAATCTCCGTCCGTCAACACCGGCAGGAGAGCAGTCCGCGCGGAGAGACGAAGCCGATATATGAACTATTTGAACATTTTCTCTGTTGAAATGTTAATTTTCCCGGCCTGAGACAGAGCTAATGTGCACGCGGAGCTGCGACATTTGCTTATCTGATTTAAAAAAAAACCTTCAAACTTTTCCTCCATGTGGATATTTGTGAACTCTGGATCTCGGTGGTTTGACATTTAACGGGATTTTTGGGAAAAAGAAACTCGAGAAGGTGAGATGATACGACCCTCTGCCTGCATGTTTATTTTACTTTATTTTATTCATTCTGCTCATAAAACTTTATTTATATCGGTGCTTTGATTTAAGACAACAATCAAGACATGCACCTGTACCTGCATTTTAGTGCTCATGTTTTGAGTTTTTCTATAAAATCTGCAATCTTTTTAGTTTTTTAAACGAATAATTAATCTTAATAAGGGCCTGAAGTAGCCTACATGTAAGAAATCAAATGACCAAAGAATATAAAAATGAAAAACCCTCGTGACTGTTCCTCTGTGTCAAGAGGTAAACATGGGCCATAGGCTACCGTTTATTTACATTCATCAACCAAAAAAGTATTTTCCAAAAATCTAAATAAAAAAATAATTCAGTCTTTATCGCCACCTGTGTGTGTGTGTGTGTGTGTGTGTGTGTGTGTGTGTGTGTGTGTGTGTGTGTGTGTGTGTGTGTCGCTCGGCTCGCAGCCCCCTGCGCTCGCGCTCCTGATAACAGTCCCTCTGCTAATTGTCCTCCTGTAGATCTAATCTGAATTGTAATGGAGTTGATTTGCACACAGTTTGGACGCATTAACATGGCGAGATTGGCCTCCTTCCTGCGGTTATGGAAATAAGAGGATCTTTATTTAAAGTGTAAACGCCTCAGCTGAGATCCAGCAGGAGGCCCGCGGCCCCTCTCTGCGCACAACGAGCTGTTGTTTGTCCTAAACGTACCTGCTGCAAGGAACCCCGGTGGATTATGGAAATTCTTATCCAAATACATTGTCTTACACTTAACACATTGTGTTATACTAATACTAACAGTTGATAATTGAGGCTGCTAATTCAAACTGAGGCCAGTGTGTGCATGTGGACTCCTGCAGGGGGGAAAGTGGGAATCAGGTTTGTCTAATCTGAGGCTTTTTAAAAAAAAACTGATGTAAGACTTCTCTGTAATTAAACAGGCAGAGACCCTAAAAAGGTCTTATTACTTACACATTATTCAAAAGTAGGCCTTGTCAGTTCATTACAACTGAAACTGAATCATATGCAGATAAGCTATCGTAATTGACAATAACAGTCTGCCTAATTCATCTCCTTTTATATCCTCCTGAAAATGACTCTTAGAGACGGTAAATGACAATAAATGTAGGATATACATTATTTCAACAAGCCGTTCAGATGTAATGAAAGTCCACGCCTAGACAAACAGACAAGACAGAATAAATTAATCTGAAAAAAAGAGGATCACACCATAAAATTCAACAGGAAAATCCACCTTAATGTCTTCATAAGATGAGATCTTAAAATGTCCCTGTCTGCATGAATTAATGACAATAAAAAAAATAAATAAATACTCGCTCAGGACTTGAAGTTCCTGCAGAGTCATCTGAGGTGATAAAGTCTGGATTGTGCTGTAATTTAAAGGCTGAGCTCCACAGGTGGATTGAAGTGTTTGCTGTTGAATTAATGAACTCACGATGAAGACGTGAGCGATGTTAGACTGTTACACAAAGAGACATCCTGAAGGAGCCGTGAGGGGCTCCTTTTTTTCCCTCTTAAAACAGCAGTTTTCTCCCTCAGATCAGACTGAAGCTGCTCATGTTTTCACCTTTCAGACTGACAGCAGACTGATATTATCTGTGGAGGCCTGCTGTCTGTTTCACACTAAACACACTATAACCAGCTTTTTTTTCTTTTCATTTATTTTATTTTATTTACGGCAAATTCATTGAATGGAAACTCACATCGTGCTGCTCACTTTCAACACTAACCACGATAGCCTTAAGGTTTTGGGGACCTTCATTTGTCTCTTTTATTTTGGCGTCTATAGTGTTTCAATTCACGCAAAATTCACGTTACGGTTTAGACAGACATCAGATCCGTTTGGCTTTTGTTTCCGCGCTTTTTTCCCCCACGGGAGCTCTTCAGTGTAGTTTTAAAAGCCGAAAAGTATACAGGCCTAATTCCAACATATTCTCGTTTTAATAGGCTATCAGAGGGGGAAATTATGCAAAGGTTCGGCTTTGCGTAATTGAGGCTTTCAATCTATCAAATATGTTTGGTTAAAAGTCAATGAGGGTTTCTTGGTTATTAAGAGCTCAGAATAAAAGTTTGCTGCAAATTATTAAGGCCAATGTTTGAAAAGGGATTACACTTTTACGTCAGTTCGTGAAATAATCACGGAAGTCTGACACGGACTCGAAAAGACTGGCACGAATTACGAACTAATTTCTGTCAGTTGTGCGTAAAGAGAAGTCTGATCGTGGAAAAGTTTGGGTTTCTGTCCATTTAGGCCTCCACGGTTACGGTATGCATGTGGTATCACGTAGGCTATTTCTGAAAACTTTTTACCACGCAAACTAACCAAGTTTTTCTCTCCAGCAGGAGTGGACCTGAACCCCGGGAACCAGAGCGTCTGAACACCGGGGACTTGCTCGTTTCTGTCGTGTCCAGACTCCGGTCCTCCTCCCCTAAGCTCAGCATGATGTCTTATCTGAAACAGGCCCCGTATGGGATGAACGGACTGGGCCTGAGCGGAGCCGCTATGGACCTGCTGCACCCGTCTGTGGGATACCCGGGTACGGAGACAACCTTTACGCCTTATATTACAATAATATTATCATCCCAGATTAAATATTTAACTCTATTTATCGGAGTTTTATTTAGATTTCTTGACTTGGTCTCCCTGGAAAGTTTGATTATCCGAGTATTTTCTCCTTCTCGCTGCAAAATTATGATCATATTAAGCTTTCCTTTCTTTTTGATGCCGCTCAAATGTTATGGAGAAGACGCATATTTCTGAATTTATTTAACGCACTGTCGTTTCGTTCGTAAAAACTCACATCGAACAAGAAAAAAGTTTGTTTTTATCGACTCTAAAGTTATAAACATTTTGTCAGGGAATGTGTGCATTTGAAAAAATTAAAAGCAGCATAGATGAAACGATTGTAAACGATTGAGCAAGTTTTAAAAACAAAAATAAATTGTTACATTTACGCACGGCAGCCATCGAGCACAGAGCTACACACTTCGCTTCGAGCATTGTTGATGAAGAGTTTCATATATTTTTCTTACATGTTAAGGGTGAAGAATGACCTTTAAATAGAGTGAAAATTTAAAAATGCACTTTTATCTTACAGGAAACCCTCGGAAGCAGCGCAGGGAGCGCACCACCTTTACGCGCACTCAGCTGGACATCCTGGAGTCTCTGTTCGCCAAAACACGTTACCCAGACATCTTTATGAGGGAGGAGGTGGCTCTGAAGATCAACCTGCCCGAGTCCAGAGTACAGGTGAGACAGACTACATGATAGGGATTAAAGTTGATATTGAAAAGAAAAAAAAAACTTAATTTTTGCAAACTTCTTAAAGTATTTAAATATATTATTTAAGGCAAAGAGATGATTAAAGCTACGATTTTATTCCTGAATAACAAAGTGCATGCCCTTACTTCTGTAAAGTTCCTACCGCAATTAGACAATAAGAAGACAGTGTAAGTTTTTTTCTATATCTAGAGGTGTGTTCAGTCTGCTGATACAAGACATTCAAACAGGAACTCTCCAGCAAATCATCCCTAAAAACATAAAACTGCCTGAAATTTAAAACGTTTTATTTAAGACATTTGAGAGCGTAAATGATTTTTGGCTCTAATTTTAAATAAGCCTTTGTAAAGTTTAATCCACATAGACTGTATTTAACCTTTTGGGAAAGAGAAAAAAATTAGGGCTGACAGTTAAAAAAAGGAAAAGGAGTAGCATGAAACTGGAGCCGCTCAAAGAGAAAGAGGGGCTTGAATTTCATCACAGCTAATAGTTCCCAATTGCTGTGAGAGTTTTTCACCTGGACTTTCAGTTTCTCACCTCAAGCCTCTGCTCCATTAGCTCCAATGTTTTAGGAGAAGTCGAGTCATTATTACCAATCGAGTAGAAACACGTCTGCACTCCGAAGGGAAATTTGGCACAGAACAGGAGGAAATTTAGAAAAGACTCAGAGAGGTTTCACAGCCTGGCTCTTTGAGGCTCTCCCCTGCTAAGAGCTCCAATTATGGCCTCTGTAGCTCTGCAGCTCTGCTTTCTGCTGACAGGAGAAAACTTTGACTCCTGAGTGTGCTTATTTTCTTGGATATTCTTTTTCATATTTATCTGTATGAATGACTCCTTAGTTTTATGACAGTTTTGCAGTTTCTAAAAATGATACACTAACCAACAAGCTCGGTTTAAGCACATAAACAAAACTGCTGCACATTTTAGGGCTCAGCTTTTCTTTTAATTTATAGACAGATTTAAAAGTCTGGATATTTAATGTTTTTATAATCAACAGAAATGTTGTAATCTGATTACGCCTTCAGTTTATGGTATTTTAACCATCTACCAAAAGGAAGAAAGAAAGCAAGTTTAATCCTGCTGTGATTAAATGAAATTAAAAAACTGTAAAACATCACTTAAAAGCTGATTTTTATCATCATTTATTTTTCCAAAGGCATAAAAGAAGCCCCCAAATCCTTTCATTATTCATATTTCATTGGTCAGCATGTAAAAACTCAGACTTAAATTGTTAAATTGAACGTTTTCGTACATGATGTGCACTTTTCTTTCATTTAATACGTTTGTATTTTATCAAATAATTTTGGTGTCTTGTGACTTTTACGGATTTTTATTAAACATTTATTCTCCTTTTTTAATTTAAAAAACATTTTAGCGTTCAGTGTTAAATGTTTTTTGTTTAATGAAAAAATGTTCATGTTTTGTGACATTTTTTTGTTTTTATGAGACACTGTTGTATTTCTAAAGATTTTTTCCTTTCATGTGATATTTTTTGTTTTCATTAAATGTTTATCTATTTTATGGTGATTTTTTGTCTCACGAAATAATTTTATCACGTTTTATGAATTTTTCATTTAAAGAAATGTTTCGACATTTCATAATTTTTGCCCCGTATATCGTATTTTTTTTATGCACTACGACATTTTCAGCATTACATGGCTTTTTTGTTTTATGAAATAATTATACATTTCTTGAAATATTTTGTTGTTTTGTAAAATGTTTTCTGTTCAATGAAATGTTTTTGTAAAAAAAAAAAAATCACGCATGTGATAACTTTGCATTTGGTGAAACAGTTTAATTTAGGGGAATACTTTGAAGATCCAGTGTTTTTTTTCCCGTCATTGTTCTGTTGACCTTCAGGACCACTGCAGATTTATATACCGTTTTGCTCTAAATTAGGAGCTCATTTGTTTTTTCCATTAAATCATGATGTCTTGCCTTGCACTTTTTCCATAGAGAAGCTTCTTTTTTTTAATCTCACAGAGTCTGGATAAACTGCAGTGAGCTGTAGAGGTCATAGGTCAGAGCCCCTGCCCTCAGGAGCGTCACATGATCAGGAACAGTTCAGATATCTACAGTGCTCACTTGTTTGTTTCTGACAGCTCACTCTGCTCTCTTATGACCACAATATGACGCTGACCTTTGACCTCTCCTCCTCCCCCAGGTCTGGTTTAAGAACAGACGGGCAAAGTGTCGGCAGCAGCAGCAGAGCAGCGGCAGTGCCAAGGTCAAACCCATGAAGAAGAAGTCGTCTCCGACCAGAGAGAGCACGGGCTCGGAGAGCAGTGGTCAGTTCACCCCGCCCGCTGTGTCCAGCTCCTCTTCCTCCACTTCCTCCTCTTCCTCTTCCTCCTCTTCCTCCTCCATCACCTCTGGTCTTGGCGGTTCCGGTCTTATCAGCACCTCTACCTCCGTCACCGCTCCAGTGTCATCCATCTGGAGCCCAGCACCCATCTCCCCTGCGCCAGCTCCACCTGTGCTGCCTGACCCTGCAGCCCCCACCAGCGCCTCCTGCATGCAGCGCTCCGTGTCCTCCTCCTCCTCCAGCGGGGGGACGCCCTCCTACCCAGTGTCCTACAGCCAGACTGCAGCGGCGTACAGCCAAGGTTACCCCACCTCAGCATCAGGCTCTTATTTTGGCGGGGTGGAGTGTGGCTCATATCTAGCACCCATGCACTCCCACCACCATCCACACCACCCACACCAGCTCAGCCCCATGACAGGCAGCTCCATGTCAGGACACCCACACCACCACATCACGCAGACACCAGGACACCACCACCATCACCACCACACGCCACACCACCACCAGGCATACAGCGCACCCGGCCTCGCCTTCAACTCCTCAGAGTGTCTGGATTACAAAGAGCAGACAGCGGCGGTGGCAGCGTCTGCGTGGAAACTAAACTTCAACGCCTCTGACTGTTTGGACTACAAAGACCAGGCCTCATGGCGCTTTCAGGTGCTGTGACTTTCTTTTTCTCTGCTCAAAAGAAGTGTTGTTTTGTTGTCGGTGGTTTGTTTTTAAAGGATGGACTAACACTAGAAACATTGGAGAACGTTTTATTTGAAGTGGCGCACAGAGATCTAGTCGTCCTGGATTATTTTTCTAAACTTTTCCTGAACTTTCCAGAAACTGAGCCGTTTTGATGACCTTTCACAGGAACACTTCAGGATCTCGTAGCTTTTCCTCCTGATCGGGATTATTGCTCCTCTGAAATTAGAATTAAGACTCGTTTTCTCCAAACATGATGCTGCTATGGCCCCCAAGTCACTGATGTTCACTTCCTGACTTGACTCGTGTTCAGAAACTTCTCGTCTGCTGGGTGTCGTCTGGTGGACACTGAGTCGCAGCACTTGTTTATAGAGTGAAAAGTTTTGATCTTTGCAGAGGAAAGAGGATAAAAATGTGAATTAGACACGTAATGTCAGTATTGCATTGAAATTTGAGAGATGTACATTCGTGTTTTTATAATAAAGTCTTCTTAAAACACGAGCCGTCCACTGAAACTTCATTTGAAACCCTCTGCGGTTCCGCTCTGATCCCTCTGAACTGGTTTTACTGGTTTCTACAGGTAAACAGAGCCGCAGTAAGAAGTGTTTGATCAATATTGATTATGAAGAGAAGCTCTGACCTGCCGATGTCTTTGAACCGTGAAAAGCAGCAAATATGAGTGAACAGTAGCACTTTGATTTATGAATCAATCTTTATTTATTCAGGAGATTTTCACAGACACTCACTGCTGGAAGCTGCCCAGAACAAACACTGATCTGAGGCTTTTCTGCAGCAGAGAAGGGGAGGAGCTGGTGCCTGAAGTAGGGCTACATAATAACATTTTTTTCCTTTCTGCAAAATATATTCAATACAGAATAATCAGGAATTCATTACAGATAAAAGCAGTGTAATTTCAGTACTTAAAATAATGAAACTGTTTGTAGTTTGCCTATTTTTAGCACAACATCAGTATTTGCACAGGGAGCAGAAGAACAACACTGTCTTCAGATCTGTTTTTGGGTACCTTTGATGGTATCACAGTAGTGTTTGGCATGCATGTTTACATTCAAAAGTCATGTTAAATACAAACACACACTCTCCATATGTTTAAATGAAGCATCACACCAAGGGGATTCAGAAGTGGTGACTGCATGATGCCATTCGGGTTATTCTGCTATGCCCATTAGCACGTCCTGTTCAAATGATATATCACGCAGCTCTAATCTGAGAGCCTGGAGGCAACAGATTCAGGACCCAAAGTCTGGGACCACATCTCTAAATCTTGTTTCCCACAGCACCACTAAAGACGAGTACTATGCAACTGGATATCCAGAAACTGCACATTCGAACATTCACAACAACAATTCTAGGACTACGTGTTCAGGCCAGACAATACCAGACTCAGTTTAAAGCTCCCATAAGTAACTTTTTGTGGCATTTTGGCGCCTCCTCTGGACAAAAGGGGGAAAATTAAGCAGGAGTTATCTTGTTTGTGTTTTTACATTTTGAAGGAGTTGTCAGATGAAGAGAAGGCTTGGCATTATTACAATGTGATCAGACCTAGAACATTGCTCACACCAATTAAATGCACATGCTTCCAGCTGGAGTTGAAACAGCGACTTAAGGATCACAGCATTTCATACGAGGAACATCCTACAGCCCTCCGCTCTACCAAGTGAGCCATCAAGGTGCTCTCTGCTTACAACTGCCTAAAACATAGTGGCTGAGATGACACACTATGCCCACACAACTATTCGACCCACATGGTCAATGAAAAGCCCAGCCCTACCTGCAGAACAAAGCTTTGCAGTTTGTACCCAACAGTCATTGCCAGGGACCCAGAACTGATTATCAGGACTTTTAGGCTGTGTGAATAAAAAATTGATGGTTGGAAAATTAAGCAGGAGTTATCTTGTTTGTGTTTTTACATTTTGAAGGAGTTGACAGATAAAGAGAAGGCTTGGCATTATTTCAATGAGATCAGACCTAGAACATTTCTCACACCAATGACATGCACATGCTTCAAGCTGGAGTTGAACCAGCGACCTAAGGATCACAGCATTTTATATGAGGAACATCATACAGCCATCCGCTCTACCAAGTTAGCTATCAAGGTGCTCTCTGGTCACAACTGCACAAAACATAGTGGCAGAGATGACACACTATGCCCACACAACTATTCGAACCCATGGTCAATGAAAAGCCCAGCCCTACCTGCAGAACAAAGCTTTGCAGTTTGTACCCAACAGTCATTGCCAAGGAACCAGAACTGATAATCAGGACTTTTAGGCTGGGTGAAAAGAAAAAACTTGTGGTAGAAACATCAAGAACAGGGCCGGATTATGGGGATTTTTGGCCCCGGGGCCAGGAGTTTGCAACACTCCGAACCCCCACCCCCACACCAACCTATCGTACTTAAGGATTCTATAAAGACAGGACACAAGTTTGTCAAATAGAACATTGAACGTTTCAATCCGAAACTTTTCTTTTCCACTAAATTCAACACCTGGCTCTGCACTTTCATCAGCCATACATTTGCGCTTCTTTGTGCACTGGAGGTCATGTCTGTAGTCTTGGGAGACTGAATCGGCAACAGTTAAAGCTGACCCTTCAAAAAAGGCAAAATTGTCTCTCTGTGCTGCCACAAAGTCACGAAGTGAAAGAAGAAGCTGTGTAGCTGTGTGTATGTCAATGTCATGTTTCTGCAACTGCAGGCTCGTGGCTCAGAACCGCTGCAGTATTGTATCCCAAAAGTGTGCCATGAAAGCTATCTCAAGGGTGTCCAGCTTGCCACAGAGTGCAGAGGCCTCGCTTCTAGTTTCACGTTTCTCATGTGAGTCTTTGGAAATATTGTTCAATGCCTCTCTCAAATGTGTAATAATATATTATGCATAATAATGCATTCCTCAATTATTTGAACAAAGTAAAACTTATTCAAACCTTTATCATACTTAAAAACGTTCTAATACTTGAGGATTTTTAATTATCAAAACTTTCCCTGTTTAAAATAGTTTTAGTATTCATGCATTATTCACCCCTTGAACAAGATCCCACTTCTACTACAACTACTGCTAATATCAATGAAACTAGTACTTCTACTTCAACTACTATTGCTACTATTTCTACTTTCTCTACTGCTACTACTACTTCTACCACTAGCTCTACTACTTTGACTTCTCCTATTCTCAAACTATTTCTGCTGCTTACATGACTACTAATATCACTACATGACTACTAATATCCCTACTATGACTACTTATCATACTACCACTAGAACAACAAATTAAACTTATGCCACTTCTCACCTTCCTGCCTTTTAAGGTAATTTACTTCTTCATTCAAACTTTGTGCAATTTCAGTCATTTTTCTGGCCTCTTTCAGCATGAATAAAATTTCAATTTATGGAGCATATTCAGACTGTTTGTCCTTCAACCATTTTCACAATTATTCAACTTATATTTCTTTTTCACCCCTTCAACAGCGTTTACATTAATATCTTTCTCCATGTATTATTAGCAGTTTAGCATTGCTTTTTCAGCTTTCAGCACTCAGCATTTCCACGCATTGTCTGCAAGGAAATTCAATTTTTCTAGTTCCACTTAGACTTCCAGATTTGTTCACTGAAAATACAGTAGCCCTTACAATGGCTTTAAGTCTAGTTAAGGTACACTATTATTACAATACAATACAATGTAAATGTCAATGAGCTTTTTAATAGGGTGTTGGATGCTAAATCTGATAGTCTAGGAAAGGTTTTAATGTAAGAATGTTGTTAGGCGTTTCAATAAATGGATTTAACAATATTGGATTTTCACTTAAACTATCAAAATTTCTGCCATGAGAATAGAGGCCCTCTGACATCGCAATTGGCATCGGCATCTATATCGCTTTGCCCCCCCCCCCACTGGCCTGGTACGTAATACGGCCCTGGTGGCGCACACGCGGCGTAAGTAAGGTCTGCCGCACCAACAAAGCGTTCCCAAGCACAATTTGGTATTTTGGTGAGCGGTTCAGCCCGGAACGATAAGAACGATTTTACTTTCACGGCAACATTACTTTGAACAGACGACCAAAAAATTGCAAGGTGATATGATAACGTAAGGCACAGTTTACTCACAGTGGTTGCTTTTTGAAAAAAGGATGCAATATTTTTCTGCCTTTTCGGTTTGGCTGGCCTCATCATGCGTGTTGGTAGGTTATGGGGTCCTGAACTAGGAGCTGTCCCATTGATGCCTGTCATACTCGTTCTGGGTAACCATGGCAACCAGGCTCGAGACGACAACGCAGCCTGCCCAGCTCAACAACCGATTATTGATATCAGTCTTTGTTTGGTTTTATATGAGTTGTTGCAAAGCATGCACTGACATGCAATAAACCTAATGTGAATCTATCTTTTGATTTTCCCGTGAGGTTTGCCTTAAGCAAAGAAAAGAAGGAGTTTTTTTTTTTTTTTTAAATAAAAGTGAGGGGGACGGATCGAAGGGCATATGAATCTGGGTATGTCGAAACCCACTTGACGCACCCCCTATCTGCGCGCATGGCAACGCCCACTCAAACAAATGGCCTGCCCCCTCAAATCTAATTTTTAATGGTGGAAAATCCTCAGAAAAAGCACAAGTTAATTATCAGCCTCCACTCATCTCTCATCCCTTCATCTCCGTGTGTCTTCACCATAGACTGTATATACGATGGACAACTTGTTTCCGCCTTCCGCCTGTATACGGATTTGAAGCCAAAAACCTCTCAGTATTTCCACAATTTGTCTTAATTTCTTGAAAGCAGCGCTGCACAGTAGCGTTGTGCACATTCAGCGGGAGAGTCTCCGAGAGTCGCTGTGATGATGCTCGGCTCAAACAGCATATCCCCCGGGTGAGCTACGCAATCCCTGAATGCCAATAGGCTGTATCAGGTGTCAATCAAAGAAAACTTGAACCCCCTCATAACTTCTGAAAACGGAGCTTCACAGAAAAAAGAGGACTTGAGCACAAACCAGTCTTAAAATAACTATAAGTCAACATCGCAACCAGGGGGGAGAAAAACTTATATTCTGTGTAATACATTTCTAAAGTTTGTCTACAGCTCCATAGGGATTGCTGGAGGAGGCGGGATTTATGACCTATACTGCAGCCCATCAACAGAGGGTGCTGTTCTCGTGGTGGCTTCACCCAGCGATGAGGCAGACGCTGTCCATTCTATATACAGTCTATGGTCTTCACACACCCTGCAGTCAGAGATTGCCTGCCCCGTCCCTCCCTTCCCATTCGTAAACATCCAATCACTGTTTAGTATGCAAATGAGCCAAGATGCACTGACGCAGCCTGAGACTGTAGTGTCAGGTTCCAAGACAGAGTGGGAGACTTTGACGAAGCAGCAAAACTCCACCAAACTCATTGCGACCCGTGAGATAACTCATAATTAGCAACAACTAAAACACAAGTTAATGTAACATCCATACATATTTGTGCAGTCAACTGAGAAATAGTCTGCTGTTTTTTATCCAG